GGCCGGACTGCGTCGGGCTGTGCAGGATCGAACGAAGAGGTTGGCTGGTCATGACGGCAATGGAATGAGATTGAAAATAAGGTCGTAGTTTCCTTGAAGCGACGACCACAGCAAGAGCGAGTTTTTCTTAGGTCGGGTAGCGAGCTTCAGCACCATCCAAGGTTTTGCTGAAGTAGAAGATCGGCTTCTGCTCCCCACGGTCCTCTCGAACCAGGACTCTGCTGATTGCCGCGCTGGAGACTGCAACGTAGAGTAGCAGAGTGTCGCCATACTCAGGTTTGGCCAGGATCGGTGGTGTCGAAAGGTAGGTTTTGAGCTGTACGAACGCGTCTTCACACTTTTCGTCCCATTCGAATCGCTTGTTGCCTCGTAGGAGTTGATAGAAAGGAAGACACTTGTCTGTAGATCAGGATATGAATCTGTATAGCGCGGCTATTCTTCCTGTTAGGCGCTGAACTTCGCGAGTGTTGGTTGGCGAGGGTAGCTCCAAGATCACGGAGATCTGCTTAGGATTGGCTTCGATGCCACGCTGAGTGACCAAGTATCCTAGAAATTCACCGGATGTGACTGCGAAGGTGCATTTTGCGGGGTTGAGTTTCATGCCATACTGGTTCAGTATGAGAAAGCATTCTCGCAGATGGATGATATGGTCGGCTGCTTTAGCTGATTTGACGAGCATATCGTCTATATATACCTCCATCGTTTTCCCAAGCTGGTCGGCGAACATTTTGTTGACCAAGCGCTGGTAAGTGGCTCCAGCGTTTTTCAAACCAAACGGCATGACCTTGTAGTAGTAGGTGCCCCGATCTGTGATGAATGCGGTCTTCTCGCTGTCGTCTGGATTCATGAGAATCTGATTATATCCTGAGAATACATCCATAAAGGATAGTAGCTCGTTGCCTGCCGTAGCCTCGACGAGCTGATCGATACGAGGAAGAGGGAAACTGTCATTCGGGCAAGCTTTGTTAAGGTCGGTAAAATCCACGCAGACCCACCACTTGCCGTTTTTCTTTTTGACGACCACCGGGTTGGCGAGCCAATCCGGATACTTTACTTCACCGATTGATCCGGCCTTCAGGAGTTTATCTACTTCATCATGGACGGCTTGTGCTCGCTCAGGTCCTAACTTTCGTCGCTTCTGCTTGATCGGCTTGAAGGTTGGGTCGACGTTCAATTCGTGACTCGTTATTTGGGGGTTAATATCCTTCATGTCGGCTATGGACCACGTAAACGTTGCGACGTTTTCTCGGAGGAAACTGATCAGCTCGTCCTGCATGCTAGGTAACAGTTCCGTGCCGATACCGACGCAACGTTCCGGGTGGGCAGCATCGATGTTGACTTGGGCGATAAGATCGCTCTTCGGCTGCTCGTCGTGATGAACGATCCGTGGGTCGAAGTCGCTACTACTACCGATCACGAACATTGATGCCTTTCGAGCGCGCTTGTTGTCGATGTAACAATGTCGGGACACTGTCTGGTCGCCACGGATGGTGATGACACGGCCCCTGATCGGCATCGTGATGCATTGATGGTAAGGAGAAGGGACGGCTCGCATGGCGTTCAGCCATGGTGTTCCAAGGATGGCATTGTAGATCGCAGGTCGGTCAATAACCTTGAATTTGACCGTAATTGACTTCCCGCGTATGGTGACAGGCATCGTTATAGTTCCTATTGTCGAAATCGAGTCTCCAGCGAATCCTGTGAGTGGTGATGGTGCGACTTTGATGTCCCGCTCGGGGATACTCATCTTGCATAGAGTATCCATGAAGATGAGGTCGACCGAACTTCCAGTGTCGATCAACACTTTGGAGACGTCGTCCTCTCCGAGTCGTAGTAAGATGACAAGTGGATCGTTATGAGGTCGGTCTATGTCATGCGCGTCCTGCTCTATGAATGTGATCGGTAGGTCGTCCTTGAACAGTGGTGGTGCGTCCTTCGAGGGATTGGCTGCCTTCTGTTCGTGCCGTTTAATTGAATTTATCGAGTCGGTGCATGAGAGGAGGCCTCCTATGATCATGTTGATCCGCCGACGTGGTGAGCTTGGAGGTGTGTGATCGTCTTCACGGTCAAGCTTTGCTTCCTTGCCCTCGCGTTTAGAAGAGCGATCGGTGTTATCTCTTCTATCGCGATCGTCATCGGGTCGTCTGTCCTCTTCGTCGGATCGTCGTGAACTCCGGGGTTCTGGAAGGGTGATCTCGCCATCGTCCCACCTCTTCCTCAAGAGGGCTGGGAGGGTACGGCAATCATCGGTATGATGACCGTGCGCCCTATGGTATTTGCACCACGGCTTTTTGCTGTCAGGGTCTCTGTCGCTCGAGCGGTCCCACATATTCCATGGCTTTTTTGGTCGTCCAACTGTGTTGATGCTCTTGCGATTCTTGTCATCCTTGTCGTAGTGCTGACGGGGCTCTTTGTAATCTTCCTGACTCGACGATCTGTCTTTCTTGTCGCGCGAAGATTTCTCATCGGTCAACTTGGCCTTGGCCTTGGCTGCCCGATCCTCTTCGACTCTGATGTACCCGGATGCCTTGTGCAAAGCATCCTCGAGGGATTTGGTTTTTCCTGTCTTTAATCGTTCACAAAACGATGAATCATCCTTCAAATTCTTGATAAGAATGTTGAAACACAGTTCGTCCGACAGACTGCACTGGGAGACGATTGATTGGAATCGATCGATAAAATCGTGCAGCGGTTCTGTGTCGCCCTGGACGCATGCCCATAGATCGAGCGTTGTGGACTCCGTGTCGATGTAAATCGAATAATGCTTCAGGAACCGAGCTGTGAGCTCCTTGAAGCTGTCGATGGAGTTTTTGGGAAGCTGTGAGAACCAGGTGAGGGCGCTTCCGGAGAGCGTCTCCACAAAGTATTGACAGAGGCAAGCTTCCCGTTCCTCATCGGTGAAGCGAGCACGTCCCATGACTGCGTTGAACGCGGTCAGATGTCGCTTCGGGTCTGTCGTGCCGGAGTAACTCGGAGGTAGCTTCATCCGACCTATGTCCTTAAGAGGAGCATTGGTGATAGCCGACGTGAATGGGGTTTGCTGTGTTTCCTGAAGGATCTTATCCAATCTCGGGCGCTGAGGTCGTCGCCTTGTGGATCTTGCTGTGGATATCATCAAGGCGTTGGTGGAGAAGATCGAGTTCTGAGGTTGTCGTCGGGTCAGTTCCTGCGATATTGCGAGATGAGCGGGCATGCGAGCCGTCTGCCTGTGCTCTCCGTAAGTCGTCCGTCGGTGTCATGCCAAACAGGTTGTTGACCAGCCTGGTCGTATCTGTGTTGCGGATCGAAGGGCGAGGGGGAGTGATAAGATCGGCCTGCTCTTGGGTATGAACCCTAGAGTTTATAAGCCGATCCAAGTCTTCTCTGTAAGCTATCTGCTCGACACGGAGGGACTCGAATCGAGCATCCATCCCCTGTTGCAACTGTGCTGCAACCGACCTGATGATCGTGGCCATGTCGACGGGAGGTGGCTGTGGCAGGCTGGTCGTGTTTGAGCCACCCGTCTGACCAACCTGGTCTGTTCCCCCCGTGTTCTGTGTGGTAGTTGTGTTGTCTTCCTGATCGGTCTGGTGGGCCACCGGAAGCCCTGTGGCTAGGTCGATGATCGGATCCTGAATGTTTCTTATCAGATCGGAGGCTCCTGTGAGGTCGGTAGTGTTGATCGGTGTTTGAACCATCTTCAAACTTTGTTCTAAGTCAAAGATTACTCTTTTATTCCCCACAGACGGCGCCAACTGTAAAAATTCAAGTTCGATTTACGAAAGAACTAGGGTTTGTGGGTTTAAAGAGGTCTTTTATTAGAAGAAGTCAGAGCTTGAATGAATACACGAGGGTTTAGGTCGTCGGAATAAGAACGCCGGCCTAAACTTTTATGGAAAGTAAATCGAAAGCTAGAACAATCTGATTGCTTAGTTTGCCCTAGGTTTCGATAGATGATTTTTTGGATAGGTTGAAGAGTCGAGAACTTCCTACATTTATAGCCGATCAGGTCGGTCTTCAATCTGTTTGGAATAGGAAACTCTTGTCGGCAAGGAGTTTCCTTTTTCCCCTAGTCGATCGATAAATGGAAGATTTCCTTTTATGTTATCGACCTGAAACTTGTTAGACAAATCGACCAGAATTCGTATCGGGCTTGTTAGAGATGGTACGGATCTCATCTCTAACATATATAATGTTAAGAAAACGAACTAGAATGCTATTAATATATGTATAATGAACTCGACGATTATGCAATATGGATGAAACGCATAAATCTTATAATAAGGTTGGGACATGATGGTGCTTTTATAAAATTTGAGGGTTAAGAGTTTAAGACAGAAAGTCCAAATGGGAGATGATGATGATGCTGTGCTGGCCATTTTTGGTAACCCTTTTCGTCAAATTTCTTTGGGCACAAGTGATTGACTATCAGGCTCAGGCAATTTTGGTACATCATATCATATACGTATATAAGTTACAAGTTGAAACAGAAAATACATGTGGATAATGAATTTGTAAATACGCCACAAATTTTAGAAGTGGCAATTGGGCATTACATTTGTTTGTTGACAAACATTGCTTTGTTTTTATTTATTTCTCACTGGTTTTATATATACATATATTTTTTGCTTCATAAATCATAACAGAGATATGTGATATCATATATGTACACCGGATCATAATTGAATCATGGAAATTTAAACTACTCAACCACTGAATTACCATAATGCATGAGCATGACCATTGTTTTGTGTTTTAGGTTCTATTACCTAAACAGAAGTTTACCGGCGCAGGTCAACATCACGGCTGAATCGAAGAGACCCGTATTATCCACAAACAACAGAACAGAACCGGACCGGACCGGATCGGTTAACTACCACACCAATTCTCTACTTTCATATTTTATAGTTTGTGCCTCTATGTAATCGCAAAATATTATTTCTACAGATCAATGGGACATAATTAGTTTCTCAAAATCAAGATTGCATTAAAAGGGTTTTTGAAGTCAAAAGCCTTACGAATTGAATAAAGTATATATAACCGTTTCATTAATAGAAATTGTTCAGTAATACAGAATCATCTGATCCCATCTTCAATATATTTTCCTATGATAAAGCCGATTCAAATCATCTCTTATATACTTAACAGAGACTTAATAATCCCTAAATTAAAGAGGAAAAAACTTCAAAATTCCCAATTATTGCCATAAGAATAATTCCTTTTCTTCTCTCAGTGCCTTTAAATTCTATAATAAGTGATAGTTGTAAATACCTGCTTGCTTGTAGTTTATGAATCTTCCAAAATCAAATCAGAGCTTACTTGTAGCGGAAGTAAGATCTGATGCATCAGTTTTCCAAATGAGAGCTTTAAAGGTTAAAGAGGTTCGTGGGAGGTTCTGAGGAAGCAATGGAGAAGGGAAACGGCAAGCCGAGAGGACGCTTAGCTGCAAGTGGCTTCACTGGACAAGGAGACGACGAAGAAGATGGTCGGTGACTTGGCAAAGAAGCAAACTCAGCTATATCAGTAGCAGCAGCAAGAGCAGGCAGCTTGGGCCATGAGAAGCTCGCTACAGGCCTGCAGATTCTGAAACCAGTGGTGTTTATAAGTGAGAGTGGTGATCGTTGGTCTTGTCGATCATCTTTCTTGCTGTTTTGAGCGGACTCTGTGATTTGGTTTTCCTTGTTCACCGCCTTCACTTCTCCTTCTAGTGTCTTCATTTTTGGCGAATCCTCTAGAAGCAAAGGCGTCTCTGTTGAGTCTGGCTTTATACAGTTCTCGTCCACTGTTCTCTTAAGACATCCCATGTCTTCCTGCATTTGCATCAATAAATACACAAATGTATCTTCAGCAAAAAGATATCTCATAGAGCCAGTGAAAGTCTTTGATCACATATGCCAAATGGACCCGTTTTACATGGCATTTCTCTGCTAATCTCCATGGGAGCTTCCTAGTTTCTTTGCTATCTGCTAACTAGCATGAGGTTATCTTTTCCTATTACTTAATAGTTACTAAGTCATAGCAAATTTAGAAGATTTTCAGTTTTGAGAAATGGTTCAGCTAGGACCTAGCAAGAGGAGTGTTTTCATATAGAAACTGAAGATGGGGATATATATATATACCTCCATTTTACGCAAGGTTCCTGAAATTATCACAAGCTGGTCCTCAATTTTGTATTTCTTCTTCAGCAGATCGGAATAGATTTCCTGACATGAAGTAGCAGAGATGTTAGCATCAAATTAAAGAGTATCATCACAAGATAGAGAATCAGTTGGTGTATCCTCTCTTACCATTGCTGGAGTCATCAGGTTATCATGGTCCACGTTCTGACTAGTAACACAAGAATTAGGTGTAGTCATGATAACAAGCTCCTCCTCTTCCTTCTTTGACGCGAGTTTCTCCAAATCTCTACTCAAGAGCAAGACAGACATGAGTTACAATTTGCTATAAGACAACCAAAGAGAGATATTGATCATATAATAAGCAGCACAATAAGTACTTTTTTACCTTTTCAGGCTAGCTAATTCTTCTCTGATCTCACGGATTTCTCCAGCGCAGACAGGATCTTGAGTAGGGTTATCACCAATCTTCCAACCAGGTGGAGGTGTCCAATAAGGATCTTCGACTCCTGCTTCTTTCCTTATTTGAATCAAATCAGAACTCTCTAACCAATACTCCATTGCTCCATCTGCATTGTGCTTTCTCCTAAACCTATCTTGACCACCAGGAGCCACCTTCCCTGCCATGTGCTTAAGCAGATGATCCAAGAGACCCGTGTCACCGATCAGCTTCCTCGCTTCTGACCTCAGCTCTGACCTGAGTATGGAGTTACCAAAAACTGCATTTTTCTCCTTCATCACGTTTAACATGTTCCTCTCAGCTAGTTTGTACCTACAAAATTCCAAAAATTAACCATCAAAACCAGATCAATCAAAGGGAAATTCCAAATTCAGAGATCATCAAATTCGTTAAAATATGCTCTTTTACCTCTCCACAGACCATCTGTCGATGAATTTCTTCTCTGATCTCCTCTTGTAAACCACGATTTGAGTTTCCTTCTTCTGCTCAGATACTTTAGCCCTCTGAGCGAGTCTCCCACTCCTGGATTCAATTAACTTTCTCTTATGGGTTTCATCGTTAATCTCCTTTGCATCCTTCTCAGGTCCATGATCAGTGCCTTCTGTTTCATTCCCATCATCTTCCTCCGTCTCCCCCTTACAGATCTGTTCTTCTTCCTCCTTCAGTGTAGAATTTTCCTTATTCTTGTTATAGTCAATATGACGGCTCTGGTACTGCACGCGCAATCTCTTCCCCCATTTTATCATCCCTCTCGATCTCAGCTCAGCCCAGCACTTTCCCTCCGGCGAAATCGCGCGACAGAGTCTGGTGTTGTACGCCGGTTGAGAAACCATCTCCCTTCGCGACACATTCTTTCTGTGAGAAGCAGCAGAAACCCAAAAACCCCAGGAATTTCTACACACAGAGACTTCGTGAGGCGCGATTCTCCTGTAAAGCAACTCTCCGGCTAGCTCCGCCGCCATCACATGGCTCTCGTCGAAAACGGGAAGAAGACGACCACCACTCATCTTCTCCGGTTTAGTCCGGGTCATCCTGCTGCTGCCGCTTGAATCGAAATGGTTTCTGAGTGAGTACATGCTCGGGTATCGGAGAGACACGTTGCTTCCCTTGATTTTGCTCACCTGCAGAAAAACCCAAAGAGAAATAAGAAATCAGTCAAAAAATAAACCCAGAGAAAACGGAGAAGAACAAAGCGAGATCCATCTCAAATCGATGACGAAAAAAAACAGAGGATCCGTTAGTACCATGACGACTCTGATCGATTTAAGTTGCTCGGGCGATCTCTGAGGGAGAACCGAGGAATCGATTTCGTAATAAGAGCCAACTCTTACGTGCGCGACTGCAACTGTAAAGAAAAAAAATCAGAGAAAAACGGAGATTAGAAGAGAAAGCGAGAAGATAGAGAAATTATTTTTGAGAAAATAATTGTTTCAGAGTCTTACCATTCACAGGCGGCGGCGGCGGAGGAGAGTTTTTTCCGGCGGAAGCTCCTCTGACCGGATTCCTTTTTATGAACATCGTTTCCTGGAAAAGAATCGAAATGGAAAATTGGTTTACTGCCTGGAGAATATATTTGAAAAAAAGCCGACTCTGGGGAAAATAACAGAAACCACACGCGCTCTCTGGTACGCGCGTGGGAGACACAAACGAAACAGTATCAACATCACTAGAGCGAGGCTAATGATTTTATTTGATCGTCATGAGTGAAAAAGAGAAAGATTTTTTGTTTTGTTTGGGGTCATTAATTACAGAGAGAGAAAGCTTACAATCATGGATTTTTGCTCCCGATGATCCTCCTTTTCCACCTTCGATTTCCAGGGAAAATAAAAATTTCAGCAACGGAAAATTATAAATCTGACGATACAGTAGTGTACATGAAACGCGACGGAAGAGATTTTGAAATAGTTGAGTGAGATTTAAAATCGAAAAAACAAAGCATCGAGAAAAAAAGAAAATTTAGAAATTATGAATCGAAAGCGAGAATCAGAGAATAACATAAACATAAACCCAGAAATATCTGGAAGAAGAAGAAAAATTCTTACCGGAAAAAAAAAAGTTCCCTTGAAGAAGGAGGTTTTGGGGAAGACGAAGGATGATGAAAGGGAACAAAAAAGGAAGAAAAGTTTCAAATGTCGCTTTAATTAAATATCTGCAGGGGCTTTTTTTATACTGATGGAGGAGAGAGAGAGAGAGACACTGAGAGAGTGTCTCGTATGCGTGTGATTGTCACGTGACAAGTTTTCCTCCGCTGCAAGTTGGGCGAAAATGACATATTTGCCCTCAAACTGTCTGTAACGATGTAAACTGTGCTCTCGTTCGCGCGATTTGTTTATCTGTGAACAGGTCTACAAAAGAATGCTAGTGAGACGAGAGATTCGTGCCACGTGTTGACTGTTAGAACCCTGAGGATTTTAACGGTGTTTAAAGAGGCGGCTAAGTTTGATATAACCGCAGTGAATAAAATCTATGGTGCATCGTTTGGTTTTGTGGTGATACACACGCGCGTGTGGTTATCACTCCGTTATGGCCTACTACTAGAGCAGGGGACCGCCTATCACACGTGAGCAAATAAAAATCATTATTATTTGATACCTATATGTATTTTCAATTTTTCATCATAAATTCATAGTCATTAAATAATAAATTTTAGTATATAAGTATCATTTTTGGCAAAAAAAACAGATTATAAATCTATAAGGTGAAATGTAAAATGATTTATGTTCTTTAAGATCACACTAAAGCCGTCTATCATAAGCATTGATGTGACGATGTCTCTGTATTATCAACTTTTTCTAGACTTTTTTGTTGTTGTGTTTTGAACTGAATCTAACTCGATTTACAAAAAGGGAAATTGCATTACATAGTAACAGATCATTTAATAAGAATTTTTTTTTTTGAAAAGGACCTTAGTTTAATAAGAATTTAATCCGGTGAAAACAAATAATTTGTTCGCAAAAGCAAAAAACTTTTATTCCGCTATTGTTTCATTTTATTACTTTTTATAAAGAGAAACAAATGTTCAGAAATGTTGGCTATGAACTTGTCCAGGAGACGAAGTGAACTTAATCAATTTTTAGTGCTATTATTATTTGTTGTGATTTTATATTTAGAATCTTAGATAGAGAATAATACAGTAAAACCTCTATAAATTAATAATATTGAGACTTTAAAAATTTATTAATTTATAAAGTTATTAATTTATAGAGAGATATTTCAGTTCAAATTCAAAATATTTGTTAAAAAATAATAAAAAATATTTTTAATAATGTAAAATTTATTCAGAAAATATCATATTAGTGAATTTGAAAAATAAGTCAAACAATTTTTATAAACTCGAAATAATAATATAATTATATTTTACTATATATATTATTTATATGTGCTTAAATATATAATTATTAATTTATCTAATTATTGGGACTATATTTTTATATAGGAGTTTCAAAAAAAATATTATTTTATTATCTTATCGAAATTTGCTAATTTTTACACTGGTCCGACTTGGGATCGGCAAAAATTATTAATTTATAATAATTATTAATTTATCAAATATTAATTTATAGAGGTTCTACTGTATTAAAACAAAAATTCAACTTATGTTATACTTTTTGGAATTGTTTTGACTAATGCTATTTTTAGATTAATCTCATCAGGGCCGTGCCTACCCTCCTACGGTCCCATTTATAAAAAAATAAAATTTAATAGAGAAGCATTGAGGTTTGTACATATGAGTTTATACGTTATGGTTAACTAATAAGTATGATCAAACTCATTTACTTCTTTAAGACAAAATAACAATAGAAAAACATTAGGGTTTGTACGTAACTTTTTGTTTTTCTATTGCCTACTCTATCATCTCTATATTCCATTCAAATTAATCTATCAAACATCATCAATTCATCATTAGGGGTAAGTTTGTTATTTTCAATTTATTTTACTTCTTTATTCTTATATATATATATTATATAGTTCTTAATCATATTTACCAATTTTAACTTAATTAACAAACTTAAAGATTATATTTTAATTTTATAGATTTTAAATTTATAGATGCATCAATCAACACAAGAAACCAACCTTTTAGAAAAAGAGAAGCAAAAACAAAACAAATTTTTTTGTCAAAATGAGAAAAATAGTTTTTCAAGCAAATATTAAAAAACAAAATTGTCAAAATTTCGAACTAATGAAATATATAAATATTTTTTATGAATTTGTTTTATATGATGAAAAGAACTTGTTGTCGCCAACGGCATTAAATTATGTTGGCAGGGCTTTGAATCTAATATATATTCACTTTCATACTAATGAATTACAATACAGATTTGAGGAAAATTACAATATATTCAGAGAAAGCCTAAGCCATTTTTGTTGAACTGGCAAAAAGCAGGTTAACTTTATTTCCTGTTAATGAATCCACGAGCCTTTTTACTGTCATAAAATCATAAATAACTTATTGTATTCACTTATCCGCATCTAATAGTGTTGCTCCCCATTTCATCAGTAACCCATTTTTACCCTAAGTAACTTATTTTCTTTCTCTGAATATATTCATGAACCGGTGGTTATTATGAATGTTCTGACCTAAAAATACCACTAATTTCTGGGAAAGTTTAGATTTTACGAGATGGTTAGTTTTTTTTTTTTTTTTTTGACAACAGAGATGTTTAGTTATGTAACAAATGAAGTATTATTTTATTCATGCATGCAATTTCTCAATAAAACCAACCTATCAATCCCCCAAAAATTATAAAAACAGAATTTGAAATCTAAAATATGGGCCTTGGGCCTAGTTAGAATGCTGACAAATTGTAGAATTGGGATTCGATTATGGGAATGAATCAAAAGCAACGGGCCTGGATATCTTCACAGCGGGTCGGATCTGAAGAGGAGAGAGAGAGAGCGAAAGTTTCGATCTTCATCGCCGAGAGAAGAAAGGTCAGAACTCAGAACTAAACACCGGTCGAACAAAAAACTCGACGAGCTCAAGATACTTTGTCGAAAGATAATTGAACCAAGTAAAAAAAGTGATCTCCTTCAAGTGGCGATTTGGGAGAAGCAGCGTGAGCATCTGGGAAAATTCTAGCTCTCTTGTCGTTGTGGCCATTTAAGTTCTGAGTGCTGAAGAAGACGAAGAAGCTTGTTCCGTCACTCTCGTACTCTCTCTCTCTCTCTCTCTTTATCTCTTTTCTCATTTGCAAAATTGTTGACTTCAGTTTTGTTTGATTTTGTTCTACTTTGCTCCTATAGGGATGAGTTGGGGAATTTGCTATTGATCTGTGTTCTTTGTGAATCTTTTCATCATTTCAAATGTGCGTTGTGTTGGTCCACTCACTATGCATCGTTCTTCGAATAAATTGTGTCAACTTCACAGTTTTGATATCATCTGATGTTGCCAATTTTTTTATCTTTGTTCAAACTCTGCTGAATTCGTAGTGACACTTGTTTCTTTCTTTGTACATTTTACTAGAGATGTCGACATTGTTGGCTTTAACTGATTGCTTAAGAGTTCTATCTTTTTGGCTTCTTCTCTCAATCAGTTGCAGAAAGCTATGGAAGGTGCTGCTTTGGCTGAAGGCCTGTGGGGACTAGCGGATCACCATGAGAAGCTTGGTGAGATTGGGAAAACCATAAAGTGCTTAGAAGCAATTTGCCAGAGCCAAATCTCTTTCCTTCCACTCGTTGAAGTCAAGACTCGCTTCCGTGTCTCTGCTCTTCTGCTCCGTTACTCTCACAATGTCAACCATGCCAAGTCCCATCTCGAGCGCTGTCTTCTCCTCCTCAAGTCTATTCCTTCCTCCTTTGATCTCAAGTTCCGGACTTTTAGCTTGCTCAGCCACTGTTACCACCTCCTTGCCTCGTTCCCTCCTCAACGCAACCTTCTCCTCAAGGCCCTCGAGCTCGCGTCTTCTGTCCCTCAGGACGTCTCTGCTTACCTCTGGTCATGCAACTTCAACTCTCAGCTCGCTAACACGTTTGTGATCCAAGCCGATTTCCCTTCTTCTCTCTCAGCTCTCGAGTCTGGTTTCCTCTCTGCTTCACAAATTTGTTATCCTGAGCTCCAGGTAGATAGATGTTCTCTTCTTTTATTTTTGCGTTTGAGGTTCATGTGATCTTTGTTTTTAATCTCGTGGGGTTTGTGATGCAATCAGATGTTCTTCACTGCTTCTATGCTTCACGTTCATATCATGCAATGGACTGATGATTACTCAGTGGAGAAGGCTGTTCAGCGATGCGATGAGATCTGGCAGAACATTTCTTCCGACAAGGTAATGTTACAGCACAACGAACATCTGTTCCTCTCCTTGCTTGGTTTTTGTCCTTAAGTCAGCTAATTTCCTCTGTCGTTTGTAGACTGAACGCTGCGCCGGTTTGTTCTTCTACAATGAGATGTTGCATGTTTTCTATCGCCTCAGGCTCTGTGATTATAAGAACGCTCAGCATCATGTAGACCGGTTAGACCAGGCCATGAATGCTCATTCGCATAAAATGCAGGAGGTTCAGCAGCTTGAGGATGAGCTCAGTTCGTTAAACCATAGTCTCTCACGTTACAATCTTCCCTCCAGAGAAAGATCAGCACTCTCCGCCAGACAATCTCAGCTCCAGGAACGTGTAAACGCGTTGTCTCCGTCTTCTTCTACCACCGATAACTCTCTGGAGCCAGCCTACTTTGGTAATACAGATCGTGCGTGGACAGCGAGGCTACTGCTTTCACCGTCACCGATTGATGGAGAGTGGCTACCAAAGAGTGCCATATATGCTTTGGTTCATCTTATGGTTGTCATATCGGGACGTCCTAAGGGACAATTTAAAGAGTGTTCAAAACGTATAGACTCTGGACTGCAGATCATTCAAGGTTATTCTATTATCCTTTATCACTTGGAAGTTCCAAATTTGAATCAGTATATTGTGTTACCCATTCTCTTAGTACATGTGGCTTCTACGAGTAAATTAGCATTGTGCTTCTTAAAAGCTTAGGAATTCCATCTCATGGTATGACATTGTTGTGTGTTTGCTATGTTGTATGCAGATGAACTGATCAAGCTTGGAATTACAGACGAAGTTAGAGGTTTAATGTTAATCTACATCTCTGTTGTAACTACACTTAATTGAAACAACGATTCTTGATGTTGAAGCTCACATTCTCTTTCCTTTTTTCATTTCTCTCTCTCTCTCTCTCGGCAGAAGCTGATTTGCGTCACACGGCTATCTGGATGTCTGGGATTTATCTTATGCTTCAGATGCAGTTCCTTGAGAATAGAGTGGCTTTGGAACTTACAAGGTCTGAATATGCTGAAGCACAAGAGGTACATCATCAGTTTCTTTTCTTCCTATTTTTGTTTTTGCCTCGCTCTGTATGTATAACCAAATCTAGTTCCCCTCACGTTAGGTCATATTTGCTGTCTTCTCTAACAAAATGCTTTTATTTTTCAACGGAAAATTTAACACAACCAGTAAATATCGTCTGTGCAGGCTCTGGTTGAGATGAAAAGCTTGTTTACTCGATTTCCAACGATATTGCAAGCTTCCGAGTGTGTGATTGAGATGCTCAGAGGACAATATTCTCATTCTGTTGGCTGCTACAGTGAAGCTACTTTCCATTGTATCGAAGCAACTAAGGTAAAATCTTAACCTTGTGTAAAATGAAAGATAGTTTTCTTAAAGGTGTCTATGGTGAATTCTCATATGCAATGATATACAGTTAACAGAGAGTAAATCGATGCAAGCTACGTGTCAAGCTTTTGCAGCGGTTTCTTACCTTACCATCGGAGATGCTGAATCATCATCCAAGGTTTGATATTTTTTTCATGCAGTTAATTGGATGTTTATACTTGCTTTGCTTTATAGCCGTGAGCTTAAGAAATCAATCCTCTGATGTGTCTTTAGGCACTTGATTTAATTGGACCAATCTGTGGAATGACGAATTCACTCTCTGGTGTTCGAGAGGAAGCTAGTATTCTCTTTGCTTATGGTCTCCTTTTGATGAAGCAACAAGATCTACAGGAAGCAAGGTATACACTTACGCATTGGTTCTTGTCCCATATCAGGAAATGTCACTAAATTTCTAGTATGTGAAGATATGATTGATACTCTAATGTAAAATTGTATGATATCAAATGCAGAAACCGGCTTGCCAAGGGTTTGCAGATCGCGCATACACATATGAGTAACCTGCAGCTAGTTTCACAGTATTTGACACTCTTGGGAAACCTGGCTCTTTGCTTACACGACACGGTACAAGCCAGAGAGATCTTGCGTTCCTCTCTTACACTTGCAAAGAAACTCTCTGATATCCCAACTCAGCTATGGGTTCTATCCATCTTCACAGGTTAAATTTATCAGTCTTGAAGAAAACAGAACTGGGTTATTAGTAATGTCCAAATCTCTGAACACAACGTTTTGAATTTTGTTATCAACAGCTCTGTATCAGCAGTTAGGTGAGAAAGGTAGCGAGATGGAGAACGAAGAACACCGGAAGAAGAAATATGATGAGTTGCAGAGTAGACTCGCTGAAGCTCGTGGATCTATTCATCACATTGAACTAGTTAATAGAATCTCTTCTTTGTCTGTTATTGCTATAAGTAAAGATCATTTCAGGCTAAACACAGTCTTGCTGGTTTGTTGCTGCTTCACAGGTTGCTAAAGCTAGGCTAGAGATCCACCAGGTGGAAGAGGATGCACAAGAACAGTCTGTAGTAACTTACGGGCTATCGAATCTGGACATTCCAGAGTCTGTTGGTATTGAAGGTCCATCAATGGCTCAGTCCTCGTCGAGGCTTGTTGGTTTAGACGCTGGGAAAAGATGGGGAAAGCGAAGGTTGTCATAACATTACAGAGACAGAGAGATACCGAAGTGTAAGTTTGTGTAGATGTATTGTGTTGATGAAAAAAAAATTGTTGTGTAGGACCTTTCTTTAAGTTAGGTGGTGTTTTTTATTCTGATATGTTTTAATTTAAGGGTTAATTTGTAAAATATGGAACATTAATAGATGAAATTAGGGTTTATGTATCCGACATGTAGCTGAAAGTCTGAATGGATGATAAATTTATTTTAATACCCTATTTTTCTTGCAAGTATTGTGTATTTACCCCTACCAAATAAACCAAGATGATGTATTTGTATAATTATTAACTAGGTGTTTCCCGCATATTCAATTAAAATTTTTAAAAAGTATAATATTAGTTTATTTATAGATAAAAAATCAGATTTTATAATAGATTCGAAACCAAATTTAATATATTTGAAAAATACAACTTTCAGGAGTATATTAATTTTTTGTGACAAAACAAAATATATTATTTATATCTTATTTTTAATATCTTTTATATTATCTGATAAAAACTTATATGTATCCTTTGTTGTTTTGTTGTATTTATCAAACATGATAAATAATTCTCTTCTTTTGATGTAAATTGATAGATTAAGATTAATGAAATTTAAAGTTTGCATAAAAAAACATAGCAATCCAAAATGACCAAAATTAAAGGATCCTAATTTCATATCAACTTAACATTAATAAATATATAGAGTTTTAAAAGAGTTTAAATGATTTAGAATTTTACTTTTGGTCGCATAAATTAATTATGTTAGTCAAAATATTAGTAGGTTAAATAATCAAATTAAAATTAGTTTAATGAAATAATCAAATTCTAGTTACCTTTTTTAGTAAACTGAATATTTCTATGATATAAACTCGAATTTGAAAATCTAGGTTTAAAAAAAACGAAAATCAAATAAAAATTAGATTATATTAATTTGTTAATTTTATCAAAGGTAATTAAAGTAAAATTTACATAAGGGACAAAAAGTAATCAACCATCATAACTCTCAACTACAACCCAACTTGCTTGCCAATTAATAATATGATTACAAAAGATTTATATTTGTTTCTTCTATAAATTTTGAAATGTATTTGTACTAAAAAAAAAAAAATAAACAAGCTATCACAAGATGCAGAAGGAAAAACAAGCTATTGCAATTTTTTAATAGCCAAAAATAACAACAAATCATATTTCTTCATATCTTTACCAAAAATAAAAATATTTCTTCAGATAATATATGTCCATTTGAAATTTATTTAGGTTTCAAATAAAAGCGTATCGTTGATAAATTTCGAAATTACACGGGGAAAGATGAATTGTCAAAATCTGTTACATAATTTCCCTCTAAGATAATTAATACAATGTTTTAAGGCTATATAATTAGTAAACTGAAGTCTGAAGTGGACCCATTAACAACAATTGAAGTGAAGATGTGCACAAGACTAATTTTTATCTTTTGTCTATTTTTTCTCTCACAGTCAACTCTTATCTTTTAATTAATTTTCATTTTACCTCAAAAGAAAAGAAAATTCGAACTCCTCTCTCTCTCTCTCTCTCTCTTTCGTTCTCTCAAACATCTCTTTCAAAGTATCCGTTGGAACAGTTCGTAATCTGAGAGAGAAAGTCGCCATTAAGAAGCCAAGTGATAATCGAAGGTGAAGCAGAGAAGAACAATCGGTTAAATTTTGGAACGATTTTTGTTCTTTGATTCGATGTCGTTCAGAGAGAAGATGCCGACGAGTCCCAAATCGCCTCTGAGAAGGAGACGCTCGAGCTGGACCGGGTCATGGCTGAACCATCCGACGACGTCTTTCAAGCAAGTAGTCTCCGCCGTGATTCAGTCTCAATCCCCAAGATCCAGGTCTAAATCCCTAGGTTCCGATTTCGATTTCCTCGAAATCGATCGAACACTCTCCTTGTCCGATTCCCTCCTCCTCAAGATCCTCCAGAAGCTTCCCGATTCCCAGAGCACCGACGTTTCCCTCGTCTGCAAACGGTGGCTGAATCTCCAGGGACGGCGTCTACGGAATCTCAAGGTTTACGATTGGGACTTTCTCTTGTCCGGGAAGCTCGTCTCTAGGTTTCCGAAGCTCAGGAACGTCGATTTGACGAGCGCGTGTATGAATCCGCCGCGAAACTCGGGTATTTTGCTATGTCACAAATCGATTTCGTTTCAAGTATCTTCAGATTCGTCGAATTGGGGTTTCGTCGAGGAGAATCTATTGCACAGTGAGATGGTCGATAGAGGGCTTAGGGTTTTAGGAAGAGGGAGCTGCGATTTGCTCAAGCTCGTAGTGATTAACGCCACTGAAATGGGATTACTGAGTTTAGCTGAAGACTGTTCTGATTTACAAGAGCTAGAGCTGCACAAGTGCAGCGATAATCTCTTGCGTGGAATCGCTGCTTGCGAGAATCTGAGAGCCTTGAGATTGGTTGCGAGCGTCGATGGACTGTACACTTCGTCGGTTTCTGATATAGGTTTGACGATATTAGCACAAGGGTGTAAGAGGCTAGTGAAGCTTGAGCTTAGAGGCTGTGAAGGTAGCTTCGATGGGATCAAAGCGATTGGGCAGTGCTGTGAAGTGCTCGACGAGCTGAGTATATGTGACCATAGAATGGATGATGGTTGGATAGCTGCGATTTCGTATTTTCCGAATTTGAAGACTTTGAGAGTTTCGTCGTGCAGGAAGATGGATTCTAGTCCTGGACCGGAAAAGCTGCTTGGTTCTTGTCCAGCTCTTGAGAGTTTGCATCTCCAGAGGTGTTGTTTGAATGATAAAGACGGCATGAGAGCTTTGTTTAAGGTCTGTGATGGAGCAACGAAAGTTCATATCCAGGATTGCTGGGGATTGGATGATGATTCTTTCACCTTGGCTAAAGCTTTCAGGTATGGCTTTAGATCACTTCCCTATAAGATTGAAGTTGCACATAATATGGTTTACATAAGAGATGATAACTCAGTGATATGTTAGTGAAGCTTTTGATTTGATTTGTGGTGCTGTGATACATAAAACTAACAACTTTCACCAAATGAAATCTTCTCTGCTAGTTTTACTCTGTGATGTGAAAGACATGGTTTTGATCATCACTTTTTGTCTTGTGTTGCAGGAGGGTTAGGTTTTTGTCTTTGGAAGGATGCTCAGTCTTAACAACAAGCGGGTTAGAGTTAGTGATTCTGCACTGGGAAGAGCTTGAGAGCATGAGAGTAGTGTCATGTAAGAACATAAAAGACAGTGAGATTTCACCTGCACTCTCCTCTTTGTTCTCTCTTCTCAAAGAACTTACGTGGAGACCAGACACAAGGTCTCATCTCTCATCGAGCCTCGAAGGTGCCGGAATTGGTAAGAGAGGTAGCAAATTCTTCAAAAAGAGATGATTATTTTTGAACCTAATCTTTATAGTTTATGTGTGTCCCTTAAAAATCTTGAGATAGACAAACTTTTTAGTTATATTCTTCTTGGGGGCATTGTTACTTTGTTGTAAAATCTGTCTTTGATAACAAATTTGTAGTCATGTTCAAAAAAAAAGAACTCTTTATGTATTTGCAATGTTCTGTTGTTATGTATAATAATAAAATTCTTGTTTGTCCATACCATAGTACTTTTTTTGGGTTTTTCATTAAAATTTGGATAAACAAAAGAATTTACAAGATATATGTTACTGTTAGGGTTATTATTAGTTTCGATTTCTAGAGAAAACAAGTAAGAGAAAGTCAAAACATTCGAAACAAGAGAAGAACCTTCTTCTTCTTGTTCGTCTTGTTTTTTGGAGAGATCTCATGGCTTCGTCACTTCTGTAAGCTCTCATCACCGTGTCTTGTTCCGCTTCTTCTTCTCTAAACATCAAATCTGACACGTCATCTTCGCCGTAGAAGACATTTCTCTTCCCGGCGTCGATTAAACCTTTCCGTCGACATGGTAACGTTGCAGAAACTCGTGACTCCGCCGTCGAGGAAAGTAGGTCACTGTTGGGGATGGAACCAGCGTCTCTTGCGATCATCTTGTGGAGATTTGATTGATCCTTTTGTACGATTGTATCAAAGACTTTGCGTACCTAAATTTGTACTTATCGTTACTTATAAGAAAAGATTTGGTATTTCGTTATTTTAATAAGATTTAGGAGTTTCGAAGAAATCAGGGCAAACGTTTAACGATTCTTTAAAGATTGTTAAATGTGTTTATATTTATCCGAAAGAAATAGAGAATTTATCAATGTCATGGAGATAACAAGCTACTGTATGAGAAGAATATTTCAAATCAGATAGTATATTTTGCGATAAATACTAATAATAAACTTTTATTTTAAAAAGAAATCTAAAATAAAATGGAACAATATTTTCCAAAACCAAAAAAATATCTATATTTTTAAACTAACCCATCTTTTTAAAAAAAGATTGAAAATTAACTTTATTTGCATCCAAATTTACGAAAACACATTACATAAAGCAAACATCAAAATTGGTATCAAATCCAATTTTGTTCCTTACAATATATTTTTCAATTTTACTAATTAAAGTAATAAGATATGGAAGAAAGATGATGAATGTTATTAAAAAAAAAATCTGGCATTAAAGATATGTGGCATTTTAACAAAATAAAAATAAAGATAAATCTATTTTAGTTAAAAGCTATATTAAGTTATGAACATGCCTAAGAAAAAATTCGATCTAACTACACGAATCAGACGTTCCACTATGAATATTATTATCAAATAATCAAAAACATGTTGAATTGGTATTAGATTCAAATTGTTATTAACAATTTTTGTTCTTGCAATATATTTTTCAATTTTATTAATTAAAGTAAGATATGGAAGAAAAATAATGATAATGACAATGAGTTCATTTTAGCTGTTTAAAAGAGAAAAAGAAAAAGAATGATATTTAGTTTTGCCCTTTTAGTGTTTGGTGATCTTCGCTGGCACTGTGAAATGGTTATTTCTTTTTAGTTTTGCTTTTTTAGTAGGATTTATCTTTAGTTTGTTGGTATCGTGTGGTTTTATTTGCGAGATTAGAACAAGAGTTTCCGTCTTTGATCTGATGATGGTTTTTTTGGCAGCTCTGTTTTCAGGCAATATCATGCAAAAGAGCGGCTAAGTGGAGGCGCGTTTCACTGGTGGTTTGTAGTCGGATCTGGTTTTCTGAAGAGTGTGTGGATTCCATTTCGGTGGATCTGCGGTGTAGGTGAGGAGTAGGTGTTTGTCATCGTTCTTCTCTTGTCGCTTATTTGGTTGGTTGTTATTTTCTTTTAGTAGTGGTATGTCTTTGCATGCAGATTCTGAAAACCAATTGTGGGTCAAAGCGGTTTCTAAATGGTTTTGTAGATTTGGATTAGATTGGAAAGAATTTTGAGGCACTAAAAGATCTTTAATACTTAGACTTATTATTAGAGAGGAAGTTTTTCTATTCAATTTCACTAACTTCAGGTGTGCTTATTTCATTTAGTTTTTAGCTTCAATTTTGTATCTCAATTTCATTTTTATTTAATTGGTTTTTAGTAGTATTATTGGTTTATATATTTAGTTAAGAATCCATATAATTTTTATAAAATTTTGAACTTTTAAACCTAACATGTTGATTTTATAAAATGTTTAACTTTGTATTCGAGTCTTTATACTTTTTAACACAGAATTTCTTCTAAATTCACAAAAATCCACTTTAAAATTATAAACCAATAACACAGAATTTGTATATTATTATTTTAAATCATAGAATCAATAACAAAAAATTTGAATATAGATTTTAAAATCACAGAACTACTAATACTGAATTTGATTGATTTTTTAAAATCCATTAAAATTGTAGATCTAATAACCCATACTAATACTATTATAAATTCTTAAATCAACTAAATACATAAACAAATACATAAATACAGAAATATTGGAAGCCAAAAACTATATGTATTTTCATTCCTATACAAAGACTCAAATCTAAAGTCTTTTTTTTCTGAATAGAAATTTTTGTTTAAAAATTTATAAGATCCAAGTACAAAGCAGTTGTTAACCAAATAGGTGGTACAGAGTTAGAAGTGAAATTTACAACATTACCGTTGTTAATCAAATAGGTGGTACAGAAATAGAAGTGAAATTTACAACATTAGGAGGTGCATGTTTTGATAAAAGATGAAAGACATTATTGCATTCTCGTTTAACGTAATCATGCTAATTCTTTTAAATTGAGTTAATCAAAAACGAATATCATGGAGAAGATTTAAGATAGTAATATATTGTTCGCCATCATAGATTAGGTTGATTAAAATTTGGCAATCTTCTTAAAACAAATATTATCATTGCCATGTCCCTTAGCTTTGATTAAAGCAGTCAGTAGAGCCTTTTCTTCAGTTTCAAGGCTTGATATCGTCGGGCCTAAATGTGTAAATCCATATGAAATATGATGACCTAGAGCGTCACGTATAATCCATCCCGTTTTGCCCTGTTGCGATTGTGAGTGAAATGTGGCGTCGTAATTGCATTTGTAAGACCCAGATGTTGGACGTGTCCAATACCTTGGTTCCGTCATCGGGGAAGTAGGTGAGATGAATTTATCCGGATAAGTTTTGATCCATTGATTAACTTCCGCCACAGCTTTGTTTACATCTTTTGAGATTTTCATGTTTTCGTTTTTGAAGATAAGATTATTCCTAGATTTCCAGATTCGCCAGAGAATCCAAAAAGGTAATAGGCAGTCAGTTGTAGAAAATGAAGTTATTGTTTGTGCTTGGAGTAACTGACCGATAATAGTATCAGTATCAAGAGCAGGAATTGTAATGAAATTAAAAGGTGTGTTGGATAGACGCCATGTAGAGAGGGAAATCAGACACTTAAAGAACAGATGATATATTGTTTCAGACTCCAAACCACAGTGGGAGCAAGTTTCATCAAGTAGCACACCCCGAGTACGTAGTCGTGTAATAGTATCAATAGCTTTAGAAAGAATTAAACCTATAATTTTGTAAAAATAACATATTAGATTATCAAATTTCGTATTTTAACTTTTGCTCCCAATGTTTTAGGTTTCTATTTCTGTTTTTAAAATTTCCATGTCAAATATTAATAATTGATCAGATTTTTTACAAGTAAAGAAAAAAACCAAATTATATTTTTTATGGCTAAAATATTTTTAACAATAAACATTAACCAAAACCACCGATATATATAATTTCATGTAAGAATCATTTAAAATTTACAAATATTTATTTTAAAGGGAAATAAAGTAAAAATCAAGAAAAATAAAGTTAAAAATAAAAGTTGAAAACCAAAAACAAAATAGTAACTCAATTTTTTTTTCTATATAATTTTTTCATGATTTTAGAATTTGAATTGAATTATCTATTCTACAAATGATATAACTCAATCTTGTAAATAAATTATAACTCATTCTAACTCAAATTTGAACTATTTAAGTTGACTTAATTACTAGTAATATTCTTGAGTTACACGATTAATTCTTGATGCGTTGACTCTGAGATTCGGCTTGGAAGATAAATCTGTCATAAGTATGAAATCAGGAGATTGTACTACTAACACACAAAAAAGATCTTGTTGTTATTTCATTAATTCGGGTTGTTACATTACCAAATGCTATGCTCCATTTGTTTTTGAAGTTAAATTTAAATACTTCATTCTCATTAGAAAATATTATTTCACATCCTCCCATTTTTTGTACTAGAAATTAATTTGTGCGTTGTCTAGAGTTATTTGTAAATCAATTTTTTAATTTTATATATTTATATTATCATTATGTTTATTATTTTTTTGTATGGTTTTATATTTTTTTTTGTTTTTTTTCTTAAAATTAAAAATATTAATTTTGTTAATTCATTATTTTAAAATATACGAGATTGTTGTAAAAACAATTTGCTAATATTTTCTTATACTAATAAGATGTTATAAATATTTATATTTTTCCATTGAATATCTCTATTTAGTTGGCTTTTATTTTATTTTTTAATTATTTTTAGTGAGATCTACAAAGTTAATTCACCACCAGTCTCACTCACTTTTTTTCCTTTTTATTTGAAATAGTACTCTCAATTTATATTACGACAGGAATTTGTGAAGCTATTTTGTTAATCCAATTTTTTTAAATTTTTAAATTTATATTACTATCATGTTTACCTTTTTAATGATTTTTGTTCTATTATTCAATTTAAATTTTGTTTTTAGTTTTTTTTTTATTCTAAAATATATAGATTTATTGTGAAGTTGTTTTTTAAATAGAAATTGTAATATGTTAATTATTAAAAAAATTTACTTTCATACTTATACGTTATCAAATATACCTATTTTTTTTTACTGAATATTTTTATTCAATTAGTTTTTTTCTTTCTTTTAGATCACTTATTTTGAGCAAGATCAACAGAAAGTTTTCACTATCAATCCCACCAAATCTCTTTATTTCTTAATTGAAATCATATTTTTAAATTACTATTATGTTTTTCTATATAATATTTGTTCTGTTCATTTTTAATTTTAAATACTGTTTTAGTTTTTTAATTAACCTAAAAATATTTAGAGCTATTGTTAATTTATTTTTTAAATATAAATTGTTATGTATTCATTTTTTTTAAAACTCGATCTTATACTTATATGTTGTCGTATGTAACTATATATTTTCTCTTTATAACTTTATTTATTATTTATATGCCACTTATTTTTGAAGAGATTAACAAAATAAATTAACCATCAATCTCACACATTTTCTTTATTTCTTATTTGAAATAACATTCTAAATTTTTTATTTGTAGATACTTTACATTTTTGTGGCTTGTAAAATAAGTATTTTTTAACTTTTAAATTATGTCATATAAATACCCAAGAAATATATATGTAAAAGTCCATTTAAATATAAAAGTTAGATAATTTATATTTTGTGGTTTGTAAAGTATATATTTACAAAATAAAATCCCATAAAAATTAGAAAATTAAAAGCTCATAAAACATAAAAATAAATTGCTGATGTGGATAGCTCTATTGGAGAGAGTTTTCTCTAATTATATATATGAATTGGATACTTTTGAAAAATCTATCTATTATTATATTACTAAAAGTTATTTCTATCTAATATAATATTTGTTGAGAGAGACCTTCTACAAATAGATAGTCAAAAAAGTTCACTTTAAAGAATCCTATTTTCGCTTAAGACCTTCATTTTTAACCAGAGTATTTCAAAGGGGTTTAGGTAAGAAATAAGTGGCTATCCTCGTATGTTGCTTTGATTTCTTATCCAAAATAGTTCTATTCTTGCGTTTGGCTCTGTTTCTCAATACAGATCAAGAACAAGATCCAAGGATTCTCGATTAAGTTGTTGGTTATTGCTTCGTGTGGGTGCAGTTTTTGGTAGTGTTTCAGTGATGGTTGCTCATCGGTTTTGATGTC